ACACGTTCCCTTGAATAATCTTAGGATAGCATTATGATAAGCCTAACATGCTCCTTTATTGCATCCTCAAAGAACTCAAAGAAACAAAGAAACTGAACAGGTCAAGCTTTTTCCACTGCATTTCTTTTGTCAATGGCTTTTGAACCAGGTGATCAGCATGAAATAAAGTGATCAACTGGAAATTTTAAGACACAGTTGATTTACATCTTTTTATCTGAGTAGCACCACAAACAGCTTAAAAAATTGTAATGAGAACTCATCAGGTTAGTAGAAAGTGAAATTAAAAGCTACCCAAACAAGGACAAAATGCCATAATGTAACAGTGGTGGGTCATCTCTCATCATTACAACTTTAATTCAAAATATAAGATTTTTAGGTCCCTAATCATTACTAAGGAAAAAGGTTATTCTAGGAACTGAGTCTGGTCAATAATTAAAGCTCTGTAGAAGTACTTAGAACAAATAGAGGAGTATCATGGAATATCACTGCAGGTAATGTTCAATACAGCAGTCACTAACCGCATGTGGCTACTTAAAACTTGAATTAATTAACACCATCTTACCGAAGTCAGAGACACTTACTTTTCCCTCCAATTAACACATCTCTACATACCACCCACTCTTTCTGTGTGAGAAACTCCACACTGTACACACTCAATAGCCTCACATGTAAAATAGTTATTATACTTAAACAGCACAGACATAAAATATTTCCATCATTGCAGGAAGTCCTATTAGACAATACTAGACTCTTAGATCTTAAAAGTTAAAAAAGAAACTCTGAGTTCATTTATTTCAGCCTCACCTTTCAAAGCTTTGTAACACTGAAGATACGAAAGGCTAAACTTTTAGCCAAGGTCTAACAGCTATGGAGAAAACTTTCGGCTCTATAATTATTCTTCCATATCAAGGCTTTTACCATACCGGTCACTAGTGAGAGGACCAAGACTATCTTTTCCCATGTGTGCTAAGTGGGTAATCCTACTCCCCCTGTTCTACCCAGATATCATGCTCTGCTTTCCTCAGAAAACCCATGACTCCTACCATTTGTTTTCATCCCACTGGCCAACTAGGCTCAACCTAATAGAAAGGAGACTTCTATCATCAGAGAGCTTCTGCTGACTATACCACTAGCTTAACAGTAATAGATCTACTCTTACAAGAAATACAAAGTCAATGACTTTCAACTTTCCACCAGAAATGAATTTAGTTGGAAGTTATCTAATGCTTTTATATGATCTTAATGGCTATAAAAAAGACTTCTTAGAATTTGGCTGAAGGTTTAGTCACTTTTTTATTTCAGCACCAGTGGCTACAATTTATGTATACCTCAGTCCCTAGAGTAAAAACTTTGGTAACCAATACCCTTAAGCTTATTCTTTTCACAATCTATGATAATGACTAAATACTGAAGAAGTTGAGATTTAAAGTTAAAATACAAAAAACACTAGCACAATCTCTGAATTACTAAATGAGTAACTCAGAAACAAATCCTGAAACACCAAAATCTCATTTTACCTTTAAACCTGAAGAAAACTCTACCATTTCTTCTGCCTGAACATTTCTCAGCCCATGTACACGGGCAATACCATCACCAATGCTTAGGACACGC